CATGCTAGCGGTTTCTCACATCAAACTAAAATAATAATTTACAGAATATGCACAACAAAATGCCCCTCTGTTGATCAGAGGTAGGAGAGGTGGAAAAAGAGAGTGGGGCCAAGTGGCTGGGGTAGTAACAGAAGGAGGCTGGAGGGAGACTGGTACCAATTCTACTCTATCAGTCTATACTTTTCTCAGATCCCATGTTGCATGTTCCTCCTCAACAGAAACCATTACAAAAATCAGTCTGACCAAATTCTGATCCTGCTGATTTGCATCCTATTTTAACAATCCTAGAAAAACACCAAGTTAACATTAATACTTGCAACTTTGGTTCAATCACTGATGATTCTCTTTTTTCAGAAACCCATCAGTGGCATACACCAATTTTCACCCATTGACCCTAAAAGTAACTAGTAGCTAATTTCTCCTTACAATATCACCCCCTAATCACGCATTAAGGTCACCAGATTAAGGGAAATGATCACCAACTGAAGAAGCTCTTGATTGTTAAACAAATTCTCTTTATCAGCACCTTAGGAAATGTCTGGAGGAGAGTATGGAGAATATGCAAACTGGCATTAAGGTGTAAAGGGTGAAACAAAGAAGGACATGGCAGCCACTTGCTAGTCATCTTCAAGGTATAAAAAGCTTTTTGATTAGTAGAGTAACATATATGTAGAAATATTGCATGTCAGACTGGCTGAAAACAAGTGCATTTTTCATGTAACACAGGAGTGATGTTGTAACAAGAGTGCAAAGTTGTAACACAGGTGCAAATTAAATGTAGCACACATGCTGTCAAATTTTTGACCATTCTTGACTTTCTGTGATGCCTTTTTTTATTCACTAGTAAGAACAAGATTTTTAGTACACTTTGTTGCGAATCATTAAGCAAGTGTAAATTTTCCAAAGACTACAAATTGCAAATCCCTAATGGGCTCACACAAATTTGCTGTCTTTAAAAAATTTACTTGTGCTTATTTACACCAAATTTTATGTGAAATGTTATTACCAATACTAATTTATCACCCCTTGATGACACTGATGTTACATGCATCCTTGAGAACCCCCCCACCTTCACCCTTCCCAAGCTATGTCTTGGATTGTAAAACTAATCTTCCCCACATGTACATCGTTTATGTTTATAGAAGGAATCCACTGTAGGGAATGATGCTGGAGAAGAACTACAAAAATCTGTCAATCAAGTAGAAGATGCCTCTTTCTAGTTATCCAGAGGATAAAAAAGGCAAGTATGGTCTGATCATGGTTAGCAGGGGCATAGCAAGAATATTTTAGAGGAGGATCTTTACCTTAGCAGCTAACTCGGAACCATACCAGGTTATTTTATTGCTAATGTCCATCTCATTTTATTCACTCTTTGACCTTTAGTGACTAGAATCTAATTTCTCCTTACAAGCCACCCCTGCATCACTCATGAAGGTCACAAGCTTAAAAGAAATGATCACCAGCCAAAGATACTCCTGATTGTTCAAAAAATTCTCCTTGTCAGTGCCCAAGGAAATGTATTGATAACAGTAGAAAGAATAGGTATACTAATGGTTAGGGTGTAAAGGGTTAAACAAAGAGAAAGGCTCCATAAGGAGCTTTTTTCAAAGTCCCAATTTGGCAACCATACATCATAACATGTTCACCGGATGTAAAATTTTTGGCCACCACAAAAAAGGTTCACAGGGCAACTCAAGGTTTAGTACAAGGATAACCTAATAGAAATAGGCAAATCTTTATAACCAAAAAGAAAAAAGCACCAATATGGGTTGTAACTTTCAACCATAAAAATACAGTAATTAAAACATTACAGATTGCTACCCAACCACCAGATGCTGGCTGCCACATAGGCAACATTGCCCACAGATCAAGTATTGAGGCCAAAATGTTTTCTTCTCATCATTGTTACCCAAGTGGACATAACTCAGAGAGCTAAAGAAAAGTATTGCCAGCAGACCATGACCTCCTTATTCAGCCCTTAAATGGATAGATATATGCAAAGCTGTTTACTCTGCAGTCTAATATCTTAAAGATGACAAGACATTGAAAATCTGTTCTGTAACTGCAAGTTTATTATAAAAAATATTTATATTCATATTTTTCCATAGTTTTCCTTTGCTTCTTTTTCTCTTTTTGAGACTTAAATTGTTAAGGGTAACATGAATAAAATAACTTTTGTCATTAACTGACAAAATTTACATGGAAGCGGACACAGCTTCCTCCTTAAAGATGTATGTGACACAAAGTCTGAATACCACATACATTGCAAGATGTCTCAATAACAATACAGTTGTACCTTTAATATAACAATGCTTATAGTGATTGTGTTAAGTGACCAAGGCTGTTTGTGAAATGCCTCCATTGCAGTAACTTCTAGCTAGAATAACTTGGCCTCATGGAAAGCCATGGCTTTCATCTGGTAGACTTGTCATACAAGTCTCAACATTATCACAGAAAAATACACATCTCTTCAATTTTTTAGTGCAAACACTAAATTTTAAGAACAAAAAAATAATTTTCTTTGTAAATAGCTGCTGATATACTTTTTATGGAACAGTACCAGCTCAGTTGCTATAAGTATCAGCATTACAAATTCTGTATAATGAAAAACAAAACTGCCCTAATTGACTGTTGCTCCATTTTCAAATAAGTTTTAAAATCTAAATGAAGAATTGCTAGGCACTTTGATTTCTTTATGACTAAAGGCTTCAATGTAAAAGATAAATAATCCTACACATTTTCAAAGGCTTTTTGGTAACATCAAACAACCCCTAAGGTAAGCAATTGATTAAAGTGACAATGGAAAATGGTGTGATGATCCAATAAACCCAGATTAATTGAAATTTAAGGTTATCAGTTGTGGATGTCCACTGATAAAAACTGATACTCAGACTAAAGCCTGGGCTTAAAAGTTACCCATTTTATCATTGACGCCTGGATAGTTTCATGGCTAAAACTTAATTAACGATCAGGTTTTTTGAGACAGGTTATAAGAACTTTTACTAGAAATTGCTTTTTTTCTGTCTTCCAAACCTTCGTTTACTAACTTAAGAAGAACTTCCAATTCTGTGATTTCTCTAGTTCACCAAAAATTGTGAGAGCTCAGTAGCTTATTTCCTTTAAATAAAAAGCTGTTGTGCAATGGTTCTGGAACCCACTCATGTTTCCCAGTCAATCCGCGTGATTCACCTATGTACTAAACTAAATTCTGCATGACTCATCCTGTCTTGCAATCCAAGTTGTCCCAACAAAAAGCTACTCTTCAGAAAGAGAGCTTTAACTAGAACACTACTTTGTAGTGATATCACATGCTCAAATGTAGGCCTTAAAAACTACTGTACAGCTAAGCTGCACAGAGCTATAAACATTCAGTCCTGGGGAGACTAACTATCCCGCGAGGATTAGGCATATATAGGAGTGTCGAGCCCCCAAACCCACCTCCGTATACCATAGCACAACTAAAGTTTTTAACCATGAACATATTTACTACTTTCTGTAATTTGATTCACATACTACTTTGATTTGCTGTTCATTTCATCATTAAACATCACCGGATAAGCCCTTGGTCACACCGCAGGCATCGAAGAATTCCTGACAGCGTCTTCGTAACTTGGTGGAGGTGGTAATTCAGGTTCGTTTACATGATTTCCTTGACTCTGTAATTCCAGTGAACTGTAAGGCGGCGGTCCATCGGCTGGTAAAGGGGGAGGAGGAGGAGGAGGAGGATAAGAGTTTTCTTCGAAATCAATCACAGTGTTATTGTGAGAAAAAGCACTCCCTGAGTGCATTTCTACTTGCGTGGCTTCGTTTACAGAGGGTCCTGATGTCGTCTGTGCATTTTGCGTCACTGGTGCGCGATTAGGTGGTTTGCGAGCTCGTTTGCACATGTGGTACAAACATGAAAGAACTGCACTAACAGCGACGAAGAAAATTATTCCAATCGTTCTGCTTCCGGACCAAAAGCTCCCACTAGAACTACCAGTGCTATAGTTTCTCTCACAACGGTTTTCATGGCTGCAGTGATGATTTAAAGGACAGTCACTATTCCAAGTGCATTCGTCTGTTGACGGCGGATTCCAGGTTCGAAGAGGGGCTAAAGTAATGGTAGAACGTTTGCAGGAGCCAGAGTCACATTTTTGAGATATAAATGGACAATCAATATCATTTCTACATTCGGCGCAGTAGATAATTTTCTCAACACAGTCGCCCAAACAGCATTTCTGACTGCTCTTACAATCCCGATCGATATGACATATTTGTGAACTAACGTTGGAAGTAGAGCAGATTAAAGTCAACCCAAGCGAAATCAACCAAATATACATGAACACGAAGCGTCCCCTACAATGGCACAACGGGAAAGTCGTTTTCGAGTGACAAACAATGAACGAAGTAAGTTGTGTCTCGATAGAAATTGCCTTGTAATCTCTCCACGATTACGTCACTGTTGCCATAGAAACAAAAGTAAGATTAGAATATGATGTAATGTCTTTTTCAAGGAGTTGAAATGCGTTCGAACTTGACATCGTGGAATGAATCTGGGTGAAAATCGAGTGATCTTATCAAATTTTAAACGTATTTACTGTTATAAAAAATTCACCTATTAGCATGAGAACAAATTTTACAGACTTCGTAATAAATAGCGTGAGTTGAGGGGGTTTGTAGATGTAACCCAATTTCTGTGAACACGCGAATTCTTGCCAAAAAGCCCTGTTTAAAAATTTTTATTTTGATTGTCAAGGACAAAGTTGGTTTTAAAAGGGAACAATGAAATTAAGTCACGACACCAATTCTGATAAAATGATTTTTATAAACTTCTCTTACAGTCTACAGAGTTACGCACAGTATGTCGCCCCGAAGTGATCACGTGCTGATTTAGCTCTAATCCTTCCCAGCTAAAAGTTAAGTAAATAGACTTTTTCCGTCTACTTTGTATAACAGTATATTTAAATTGCGCCGTCTTTGTGGGTTCATCATCTTTGCCATAACAGGATCAGACGAAAAATATTCGTTATTTGTAACATTCGATCTGGTGGCTTCAGTCGTTTCGATTCAAACATCAACAACTGAAAATTTGACCACGCAATATAGGAAAAAAAAAAACTCTTTTGTGGTCAAGTTCTAGCTCAGGAAGTGTAACAGCTACATCTTAATTAATAAAAGCAACGATTTCGTGAAACTCCACGCAGCCGAATTTAGATCAACAGCAAACTGATCGGCCATCATCGCTAAAGATCGCAATTCTTGACAGCCTCGTCGTAAGTCGGTGGAGGTTGTTCTGTATCATTGCTGTCATCACGTTGTTGCTGGAATTCTAGAGAACTGTAAGGTGGAGGTGCATCCGGCGGCAAAGGAAGAGACGTTTGTTCCAAGTCGATCACAAAACCCCCATTCGAAACCCCGGCTCCGGCTATTTGCATATCAACTTCGGTCACAGTAGTTGGCGCTGTTGCCACACTTTCCCGGCTTTCCAAAGTTGTTCGCCAGGCATTTCGCGTTGCGAGTACCCGATCACGAGTCCGTTTTTTATCTCTCTTGTTAAGGCAATAAATGATGAATATCACTAATACCACTGATACAAAAACGATTATTACCGTTCCAATCAGTTTAGTTCCCATTAATGGAGGTCTTGAAGTGGTAGATACACACTTCCCGTCCTCACATACATGGCCTTCTAGACAGCGGGCATTTTCGCCGTTGCAGTAGTAGTTATTCGAGTCTAACTCATAACAGAGGCCATCTACTCCACATTTACTCCCGGACGAACAATCCTGATCCCCAGAGCATCTCTCGCAAAACTTTTTTAACTTACAGAAACCCAACGAACAGCAAACGTCTCCATGACCGTAGTGGGAACAATCCCAATCGTGATAACATCTCTCTGAGCTTCGAACACTATAGGCCAAGGAGATAAAAATCAGCCCGAGCGAAACCAACCAAATATGCATCAACTTGTTGGCGTATTCGTAAAACAACAAACTTAAAGTATAGAAAGAGTTCCTAACCGTTAAGATTAAACTTGAAATTAACTTTATAGCCTACCAATGCGTCACGATTGCCAAGGAAACACTGCCAAAATTGGAAAATAGGGTAATGATATTTCCCGTTTTTCCTTTGTGCAGCCAATATGATGTAAATATTTTGTCGCTCTATGAATCGTATACGTGTTTCAAACGAGTATTCGATTAACAGGGAACCATATTCAATATGGTTCCCTGATCACTGAATTGTTTTCATGAGAAAACACTCATAAAAACAATTCAGTGATCATCGAAACAAACGTTAGTCAGTGACCAAAACACTCACGAGGCTTAAATTGCAGTTTGCTAAACATTGTGACCATTAGCACACTCATTTTTTTCAGTTAGCTTTCTGTGTTACCTTAGGCGGATTGTTTAGTTTAAATCCATATCAGATGATGAAATAATAAATATGATAAAAATAAAAATTCGTCAACTCATTAACTATGAAATATCAGGACAAATTAACAGACCCCTGCTGATCTGTGTGAAAAGAGCTTTTCTTTCCAAAAACAAAACAAAAATATTCACAAACAGCACGAAGAAAACATTTAAGCAATGAGTTGACACCTTAGTGAAACGTTTCCTTTTCTTTCAATATTTTTTCTGGAGTTTTTAAATTTACTTTTTCTTTCATTATTTTTTTATTATTTTTTAGTTTTTAGAGGGAGGAGGGGGGGGGCTGATAATTAAGGTTGGCAAAGACTGAATCGACCAAACTCATCTCAGAAAGAAATCAGGGCAAATTTCTTTTAAAATATTAAGTTTATTCAATCCTTTTCTTCCCTTTAAATTATAAATAAACTTTGAATATCCAATTTACATAATCAGCAGTTGTTTACCTTACCCCGGTTGCTCACAAGCGCAACCGCTAAAAAATTTATTTCATACATGTTATATACGCGCGGGCTGAGAGCTTTAGCAGCGATAAGAAGGATCGTATTTAAAATTACAATTCTGAAGCGTCAAAAACTATTGGGAAATAAATAATCCTACTCATTGAAATAATTATTCCGTGATTGATTAATAATTTATTGAAACGCTTGAACAAATCCAAAAAACAAACTCGAAACAATTTCATTTCCTTGAGCGTTCATCAACGTTGAAATTTCAAGCCAAAAAATAGATGCATGCATGTAGCGACGTAGTATAAGTTGTCTTAATGCCTTCAGGCTCATAATGGCTAAACAATATTCAACGCAACATCCTGTTAGTGTCCAATGCTCTGCTCAATAGACCATAATAAATAAATACATTATCAGAAAAATTCATATACAAAGACCATTAGAACTAGGTATTTTTCATAAGTTTTCCGTCACAATTTAGTAATATCTGGTCCTGTATCTTTGCCGTTCTCTCCATCTCCTGGTTGCTCAAATTCCAATGAGTCGTAAGGTGGTGGTGCGTCAGACGGAAGATGAGACACTGCTTCACAGCCAGTGTCACCATCAAAAGCAAAACTTCCTGATTGCATCTTCACACGTTCTCCTTCGTCGCTTCCGTGTCCTTGTTGTTCGAATTTTAGGGAATTGTAAGGAGGAGGCCCATCGGCCGGCAACGGAGGAGAAACTTCTTCCATCGGTATGTCAACAAACACATCCCCCGCTCGCAGGGCAGCATTAGTTTCATGATTTGTGTTTGCAGCTGGGCGCGCATTCCTTGAGATTTCAGTTTGACTTTCATGTGGGACTCTTTTGAGTCTCTTGTGCAAGAAAAATGAGCATAATATGAAAATCATTAAAATGGCAATGACGATGAGCGAGGCTGCGAGTATCAGCGGAGAACGGTTCACAGGATTTTTGTCCTCTTGGGGATGAACACACTTTCCGTCTCTGCACACATGAGAACTCAGGCAATCGTCGTCTGTAGAACAATTTTCATCATGTCCATGCTCTTCTGACATTGTTGAAGGTTTTGCGCGCGTAAAGGGAGTGAGAGGTGGTGCCAGAGTTACTGGAGGACTAACACATAGACTCCGGTCATCACTGAGATGTAAAGAGCATTTTTTCCCGCCAGAGCAATCGGAGTCGTCCTTACACCAGACGCAAAGCCACGAATAAGTGCACATACCCTTTGCGCAGCACACTTTAACTCCCTCACATTGCCCATCGTGGTGGCAATAGTGAGATAAGACAGTGGAAGTAAAACAGATGAAGGCCAAGCCTAACGAGAGAGACTTGAAGTAAGCCATTAGGTGATATTTGAGATAACGATCTCTGTACTAATGGGCGCACGAGCGACAATGTAAATAACCTTTTTAACAACAGAGTCACTGCTTTATAGCAATACAGACTAATTGTGATTGTTTCGTTGCCAATTGTGTGTGTTCTAAACCTGGAACATTGTTTTCATTTATCGGTGAATACATCCTGCCCATCTGAAGCAAGGTCGCGTCATTACACTGACCCGGAAGTGACGTTTTCGCTGGCACGGTGGAGGGGAGGGGAGTGGAGGGACTGTTCATTATGCATGAATCAATTTTTGCCTCAAACGTTGATGATCGTTATTTGTCTCCCACGTATAAATACGTCTGATAAACACTAAGCCTTGTATACCATTCTAGATATTATTGTATGGTACAATTGCTTTTTGACTGTCATGGGTAAATATACCTTTGTTTGCGATATTTGCTCGCATTTAAAATTACATTAGGACTTAAAAGGGAGCAGTTCTTTGAAACCACCGCGGGAATGGCATACATTGTTATTCTTAAGTCGTCTTTCAACCGAAAAAAAATGAATGAACCAAAAGTGTTAAATATAACATTGACCATGGGATATACAACCTTTTGTCATGTGGAGCACAAGTTAAAGGAACATACTGCGAGAGAACTGACAAGCGCTCTGTTTGTATTAAGTTATGATCGAGGACTCTTATGATGCATGATAAATCACTATAGAATCAGCATAATTTCGATGCGCCTAGCGAACACTTCCGAACAAAAATACCTGCAAAGAGCTTCATAGAGTACAACTGAATTTATAGAGAGAGGTAATCGTTTCAGAAAAGCTCGAATCAATTTTTTTCCTACATGATTTTATATGATTCGCGATGAATAGAAGTCATTGGCACTAGAAGTTCATAGTGTGCCACTCATCAGTAATGATCGGTGAAAATACAACGGCCGAATCTATACATCAATGCTATAATTAGTCACAAGGCATTTGCTCTGACTGAAGGAATTCTTCGTCACTACCGCTATAAGATGATCACTTCACCTCGTTATTTTCATATCTTTGCAATTCAAATCCCGCAGAACTTTGGGGTAGCGAAGCAACAAACGGTAAAAATGGACAATTTTCCTCCTTCATAAAAACAAATACGCAACCACTGGCAACAGAACTTTCTCGTTTCATTTCAATAACATCTCGGTGATCTTTCGTATCTTTTCTTCTCCGCTCGAGTTCTAGGAAACTGTGAGGTGACAATGCATTCAGTGGTAAAGGAAGCGATATGTTTTCCGCGTCTATAGCAATAATATTTTAGCGGGTAGTTCCTGGTTACATTTTATCGCGCAAACACATGGTGTAGTTGAGCAGTACTGTATGAATCGCCGCACGCACGCCTTCCGCTATCGCTGATACCGTCTACTTCAAAACCATGTTAGGAAACCGAACCAAAAACTAATTTCCTGCCGCGAGGAATATGGAATAAAATTCTTTTATGCGGCTTTTATAGCTGATCAATTCAAGTCACGTGGCTCAAACAGAGCTACAGCGTTAAAATGTGAGCGTGTGGCTGCATTCTTTTGAACAGACCGCACTGGTAAAATACCCGATACCAGTTTGCGAGGTCTAAGCAAGACGAAAGTCAAAACATGCGAGTCATGAGGCGATATTTGGATCACTACAGTAGCAATGAAGGCACTTGGACGAAGCATAATGACGCCTCATGTAAATAACCTCGGTCGAGCGAATAAGGGTAATCATATGCAAGATATTTTTGCATGAAAGCCTTTGGTTTTATTTCTGATATGAACTTTCTAGACATGTTCGTCTATTGTAGGTCTCAAAGAGCACTACCACAACACAAGACTCGGACAATCCACGAGTTATGGCAAAGATTAACTTGAATTTATTGTCGTAAATTTTGCCGAACTTTTTATTTTTGTTTGCCGTTGAAGTAGTAATGGAGGGAGAGAATGATGGAAATTATTTTTCAATTGAACCTCTCGAGCTTTGCATGCAGCGCAATACTTTTTTGGCCCTATACACCCTCACATCAGTGTGAAAATTATATCCATGCTGTTCTCTAAACTTTTTCTAAGGTACTGATAAGGAGAATTTGTTTAACAACCGAGAGCTTCTTAAGTTGGTGATCATTTCCTTTATTTTTGTCACATTAATGTTTGATTTAACACTGTAAGGAGAGATTTATATGCTAGTCACTTTTAGGAGTTAAAGGGCTAAAGATAAAAATTCGGTTTCTGTGCGATCTTACATCATTATGTTTCTCTATATTTTTCCGAGTATTTAAGAAGTTAATGGGTTGAGAATACCGTAATAAAGGTGATTAATACAAGAGCTACAACAATCGTACAAAACACAAAAGTGATATAAATGCATAGATTAAAAAACAGCCATCGAACCGTATCTCATTTGATGTGCATCATGAAAACTTCTTCGACATAACTCGTTGGCCGTTTTTTCTTACTGGTTGTCTTCATTCCTCAGTGTTGCTTAAACTCCTCTGCACCTTCGGGTTGTGTACCAGAAATAGTTGGGAGAAGAGACACTTCTTCCTCTTTGAAGGGAGCCCAGCGGCGCGGATTTGGAGTGGAACTTCCTGTTTGCATTTCGACCGCGTTGGCTGGTTCTTCATTAACATTTTTGCTTTGCTCAAATGTCGAAGAGTTGTAGGGCGGCGGAGCATCAAATGGCAAAGGAGGAGTAACATCACCCGCATCGACTACCGCAGCATTAGAATAAGCATTCCCTGGTTGCATTTCATTATCGCAAGTAGCACGTGGTGAAGCAGTATTTTGGCGCGCTTCCGTTTGTTCCGTTTGAGCCACAATGAGCGTCACCATCCTCCGTTGTTGGAAGTATCTTGCGTATTTCACCCTCCAGCACCCAAAACAAAGAAGAAATTTCGCTATAACGGCAAAGACTAAGAGCAGATAGAGTGTTCCACTGCCTGAAGACTCTGTGTCTGCATCATTTGTATCATAGTAAGGACCATCCAATTCATAAGTTACTGGCTTAACATCGGGAATGGTGGGCAAATCAACCTCCGGCGAGGTAAATGGCTCAGGTTGATAGGCGTCCGTGGCGTCCGTGGTGTCTGTGGCGTCTGTGGCGTCCGTAGCGTCCGTGGTGTCCGTGGTTTCCCAGCAGAAGCTCTTGCCGTCACTCAGGCGAGTGGAGCATGTCTTCCCATAGGGACAATCGGAGTCATCTTTGCACCGCTGACGACAATACACGTGTGTTAAATCTGTAGATTCTAAACAGAATCCCTCGTCCAACTGGTGGACTTTGCAGCACACCTTTCCTTCTTCACACTCAAAATCGTAGCTGCATTCTTGTGAGAAAACATTGGTGATCAAGCAGATCAAGACAAAGCTAAACACAACCCAACACAAACAAGTCATGACGAGATCTCTGGAAAAACGATGTTGACAGATCTATAAGATGTTATGAAAGAAAAAGCAACTGGCTCTGTCTGCATTACCAAACCTTGGCCTCCTCATAGGATATCCATGATTGGTTCGTCAGATGATTTACGACATAGTTGCCGGAGAAACATCTCTAACATTCCGTCAATCAGAACGTCTGTGTCCACCTACCAGTATGTCAAATGAACCCTGAGGTGAAAGTTTTTTTTTTTGTCATAAAATTATCATTCCTTGATAACTTGGGATTCGAAACCTCTCTCTCTCTTGACGTTTCAAATACATGGGACAAACATAGGCATGCTATGCATGCAAGAGTTATTTCTTTGTGTGGGTGGATTAATTGAAACGTTGTAAGTGATGTCTACATTTTTACAAAAGAAAAGAGTATTAACGCAGAAAAGAACGAAGACGTCGAATTAACTCACACACAGGTATTTTGCTGTCGATTGTTTGTGTTGTGCGAATAATTGCCACGGATACCTGTTAGTAAAAAGTGCAGATTGCAGAATGAAGAGTGCAGACCATCAAATCCTTTTAAGGCTACGGAGAGCACAGTGGCAGGCCATAGTGTGTCTCGTGCATTTGTATGCTCTAAAAGTAACTCTTTCTTAGTTTATGATTATTGATCAAACTCTCATGAATACGCAAAATCGTATAGCAATCAACGCTTGTTGATTCAGAGGTAGAACTTAATTTTCAAGATCAAAGCGGTCTACAACGACTGCAAAATCATAATTTATGCATTATGATAAATATGACGTTCCTTCAAGTTATTTATGAGAAGTTGGTGTTAGATAACGATAACAACTTCTCCTTGATAAGTTTGACTATTCTCATTACCTGTTTGCTGGATAATGTATGGATATTAATGGGAGAATGTATGAATTAATCATTTCTGAGGGTCAAACTTACGTGCACTCAATTTAGGCATTAGGATCGGTTTCGCACCAAAAAAACTACCTTGCAAAAAAAAAAAGTTCAGTTATTCGATGTGTTTTTAAATCTGTAAGACAAGCATAAGCAAGGATCACTACAGGAAATGTATTAGCACTCGTTAACAACATCCGGATAAAACGAGACAGTCACATCAATTAATGCAATACAGTTATTAAACCACAACGCACAACGTATACATTTGAATTAGTCGACATCACTAAGCGGCGATTGCTGCTGTTAGTGGAAAGTCTTCTTTTCCTTGTCATTTGAATTTCAGGATAGAGCTGCAGAAAACGGTACACGGGTAGAACCCCCTTTTCTTGGTTGCATTTCATTTTTCCTGGTTGCATTTCAACAAAATAACTTGTGCGGATGGTAGTTGCAGTTTCGCCCTTATTTGCTCGTCTTAATGAAGGTTTGATGCACCTCGCACTCCACAGTTGTCGATAAAGTCTGTCACAGATCCACCTCAGAAACCACAACCCAGAACCAACTGGGTTGGTCCTGGGTTGGGGTTCGCCCTTATTTGCTCCTCTTCATAACAGTTTGATGTGCCTCGCACTCCACATTTGTCAATAAAGTCTATCACAGATCCACCTCAGGAACCACAACCCAGGACTAACTGTCAAATAAACAGCGATAATCATGAGCATGCTTACCGTAATCTAGCCTAAAGCCTTTATATCTCTTTTCTCCGGAAAGACTCAACACAGACACCTTCGTCAAACCAGGTTCTGCAGCAAAATTCCTGCCTTCACACTACTCATCGTAACGGCATGCTTGTCTATTGATACTGTTGAAGAACTAGACCAAGGCAAAGCTGAGCCTAAGCCAACAGATGCTGGTCATAACAGAATCCTTTGAAACTCGCAATAAAGGCGAATCATTGCATCTTTCGAGACATTAAGTTATTTACATACAGGATGTTGTCGTAAAACTCAAAGTTTCAATATTGGTTAAAGAAACCGAAATATAAAGGTTTTATGCCTATCAAAGCCTCGGAATGATTTTCGGTAGAGTCTGATCATACCTACATACAAAGGAGCTCGTGAATTAAAAAAAAAAGGTCTTCCCCGAGAATATTGAAAACCATTCCGTCATGACGCCTCATGTAAATATCCTCGTTCGAGCGAATATGAGTAAATATGATAATTTCTGCGTTTGTCGAACGTGTTAACAAACACTATGAGCTTCGCGCATCATTTCATATACAAGATATTTTTGCATGAAAGCCGTTGGTTTTATTTCTGATATGAACTTTCTACACATGTTGATCTATTGTAGGTCTCAAGGAGCACTACCACATCACGAGGATCGGACAATCCACAAGTTATGGCAAAGATTAACTTGAATTTATTGTCGTAAATTTTGTTAATGGGTTGAGAATACCGTAATAAAGATAAATAATACAAGAGCTACAATAATCGGACAAAACACAAAAGTGATATCAATGCATGGTTTCAAAAAGAGTCATTGAACCATATCACATCCGGTGTGCATCATGAAAACTTCTTCGACATAACTCGTCGGCCGTTTTTTCTTACTGGTTGTCTTCATTCCTCAGTGTTGCTTAAACTCCTCTGCACCTTCGGGTTGTGTACCAGCAATAGTTGGGAGAAGAGACACTTCTTCCTCTTTGAAGGGAGCCCAGCAGCGCGGATTTGGAGTGGAACTTCCTGTTTGCATTTCGACCACGTTGGCTGGTTCTTCATTGACATTTTTGCTTTTCTCAAATGTCGGTGGGCTGTAAGGTGGCGGAGCATCGAATGGCAAAAGAGGAGCAACATCACTCACATCGACTACCGCAGCATTAGAATAATAATTCCCTGGTTGCATTTCATTTTCGGAAGTAGCACCTGGTGAAGCTGTATTTGGACGCGCTTCAGTCTGTTCCGGATGAGCCACAATGAGCGTCACCATCCTCCGTTGTTGAAAGGATCTTTGGTATCTCAACCTCCAGCACCCACACCAAAGAAGACATTTCGCTATAACGGCGAAGACTATGATCACATAGAGTGCTCCACTGCCCGAAGACTCTGTGTCCGTATCATCTGTATCATGGTAAGGACCATCCCATTCATAAGTTACGGGCTCAATATCGGTGGGAAAATCAACCCCTGTTGAGGTAAACGGCTCAGGTTGATAGGCGTCTGTGGCGTCTGTGGTTTCCCAGCATAAACTCTTGCCGTCACTCAGGTGAGTGGAGCATGTCTTTCCATAGGGACAATCGGAGTCATCTTTGCACCTCTGAGGACAAGGTATAGATGCTAAACAGACTCCCTTGTCAAACTGGTCTTTACAGCATACTTCTCCTTTTTCACACTGAAAATCGTCGCTGCACTCTTGTGAGCAAACGTTGGTGATTAAGCAGATCAATGCAAAGCCAATCAAAACCCAACACAAATAAGTCATGACGAGATCTCTCAGTGAAAGAACGATACCGACGGGTCAACAAGATGTTACGAAAGAAAAATCAGTTGGCTGCGCCCAGATTACCGAAGCATGGCCTTGTCCTTGGATTATTATGATTGGTTCGTTGTGATGATTTATGACACAGTTACCGTAGAAACATCTTTCACGTACCGTCAATCAGAACGTCTGTGTCCACCTACCAGCATGCAAATGAATCCGGAAGTGGAAGTTTTTGTTTCGTTATGAAATTATCATTCAATGATCTTCTGAAAGTGGGATTCGAAACCTCTCCCTCCTCACGTTTCAAGCACATCGGACCATAATGTTCCCTCTGTTTCCATCAAATCGTTCTAAGGCTGTGGATAGCACAGTGGCAGGCCATAGTGTGCCTCGTGCATTTGTAAGTGTTTCAAGCAACTCTTTCTTAGTTTATGATTACGCCCTAACAGTGCTTTGATCAATCACGCCTGTTGATTCAGAAGTAGAACTTAATAGCCGTTCCCGCCCAATACATTTTTAAAACAACTACAAGATCATAATTTATGCATTATGATAAATTCGGCGTACCTTTTACGTTAGTTCTATGAAGTTGGTTTTAAATAACGATAACAACTTCTCCTTGATAAGTTTGACTATTCTCAATACCTTTTCGCTGGATAATGTATGGATATTAGTGGGAGAATGTATATGTTAATGACTTCTGAGAGTCAGACTTACGTGTACTAATGCTCAAACTTACGTGTACCCACGCTCCAAACACTAGCACCTCTTGGACTACGCCCTCGTGCACCAAAAGGACCCGTGTGACGCTCCACATACCAGAGTTATGTCCAGTGCCGACTGCAACACAGACCACAAACTGTGCCGGACCAAAGTCCGACTCAATATCAAGCCTGCAGTGAGGAAAAGAGGGGTACAGGTGAAGAAGCTTGACACCAACAGGCACCTGGCGAGGAAAAGTGAGTTTGAAGAGGAGCTTCAGACCAGACAAGAAAAGAAGGAACTGCCAGTCTGGGAAACAGATCCAAAGCACCATTGGTAGCAGCTGAAAACCATTCTCCAGAAAGCTGCGGAGAAAGTAGGCGGCCTCTCCGCGAGGAAGCACAAAGACTGGTTTGACGAGAACGATGCCGAAATCCAAAAGCTTCTCCAGGCAAAACGCTCCTGTCATACAAAGTTCCTCTCTAGGCCGGATGACCACGCTACTAAGACAGCATATAACGTGCAGTTATATATAGTCAAGACTCAGGGAGATTCAGAACAAATGGTAGCTCGATCTGGCTGAAAAGACACAGTTCTACTCCAACATCGGAAACTCCAAGGCCTTCTACGAAGCTTTGCGTGCTGTCAACACACTAGGTCCAGGCTCCTCTACGCTCGTCTGATGGCTCCGCACGACAGACTGATAGGGTCTCCATCCTCCATCGCTGGACAGAGCACTACTCTAGTCTCTTCAGTGACAGATGCTCCGTCCAGGAGGCCTCCATTGAGAAGGTCCTCAGCAGGACGTCAAGCTAAAACTAGACAACCCACCAACAGAGGCAGAAATCTAGGCGGCCGTTGTCAAGCTGCAGCCAGGCATAGTTCCATGTAACTCTGTTCAGTAGAGCCGCTTTACTTGGATTGAATAGATGGTAACCGGTCAAGTCGCTCGAGAGTCATCTCGCCCGAAGTCATGTCGCCCGAAACTTGAGCCAGGTTGCCTGAAATTTTAGTTATGTCGCCCGAAAAAAAGAGACAAGTCGCTCGAAGAAACAAATACTAAAAAAAACATCAGAATTTCAGTGTACGTTTGAGTAAAAATTCTAAAAGCGTTGTTCGTTTCTAGCGACAAAGGAAAGCGTTGTTCGTTTCTAACGACAAAATGAAGTGTTTTTGGTTATTTTGAGGCTTTGTTCGGCATAAAGCCCTTAAATTTCCCTTAGATCACGGGAAGCATGCTCATGATCGTTGCTGTTTGTCTGACAGTTGGTCCTGGGTTGTGGTTCCTGAGGTGGATCTGTGGCGGACTTTATTGAGAACTGTGGGGTGCGAGGTACATCAAACTGTCATAAAGACGAGCAAATATGGGCAAAACTGCAAGTACTATCCGCACAAGTCATTTTAATGAAATGCAACCAGGAAATTGTAATAATCTTACCGTTGTCCAGGGAAAAGGGGGTCATTTTGTTGAAATGCAACCAGGAGATAATTGTAATCATCCTACTGTTGTCTACGGAAAAGGGGATTCTACCCGTGTACCGTTTCCTGCAGCTCTATCCTACAATTCACTGGAATTCAAACGACAGGGAAATGAAGACTACAGAGTAACAATAGCAATCGCCGATTAATAATCCTGTAACTGAGGGTCTCAATGGGGTGATGACTTTTACGGCTATCAGTTAAAGTTTTGGCCAATTTCCGGCTAACGGTTAACACTTTTCCATTGTTTCCACCAGATATATTTTTTACGGTTAACTTTTTTTACGACTAACGGTTAAAATTTGTCAATTTTTACGTCTAACGGCTAAATATTTTGGCCGTTTTACGGCTAACGGTTAACCCCATTGAGACCCTCGTAACTGGCGTAGCACAAGGATCATGTCGACAGTTCTTTTGTTGGTGCGGAAGCTGCACTGACTCACGAAGAGGTTTTGCTCGGCGATGGTAGGGATGAGCTGGAACGTAAATTTTGTTAATGGGTTGAGAATACCGTAATAAAGATAAATAATACAAGAGCTACAATAATCGGACAAAACACAAAAGTGATATCAATGCATGGTTTCAAAAAGAGTCATTGAAACCATATCACATCCGGTGTGCATCATGAAAACTTCTTCGACATAACTCGTTGGCGGCTTTTTCTCACTGGTTGCCTTTATTCCCTCAGTATTTTCTAGGCTTCTTTGAACCTTCGGGTTGTGCACCAGCTATAGCTGGAAGAACAGACGCATCTTCTTCTTTGAAGGAAACCCAGTGGCGCGGATTTGAAGTGAAACTTCCTGTTTGCATTTCAACCACATTGGCTGGTTTTTGATTGACAGTTTTGCTTTGCTCAAATGTCGGAGAGCGGTAGGGCGGCGGAGCATCAAATGGAAAATGAGGAGTAACATCACCCACATCGACTACCATAGCATTAGAATAGGCATTCCTTGGTTGCATTTCATCGTCGCAAATAGCACGTGGTGAAGCTGTATTTTGGCGCATATCTGTCTGTCTAAGCGTCACTATCCTCCGTTGTTGACGGTATCTTCCGTAACTCAACCTCCAGCACCCACAACAAAAAATAAATTTCGCGATAACGACAAAGAGAATGATCACAGAGAGTGTTCCACTGCCTGAAGACTCTGTGTCTTTATCATCTGTATCATCAAAAGGATCCGCTTGTGAGTAAACGTTGGTGATTAAGCAGATCAAGGCATAGCCAAACAAAACCCAACACAAACCAGTCATGACGAGATGTCTCAAAGGAAAAATGATTCCGACAGGTCTACAAGATGTTACGAAAGAAAAGGCAGTTGGCTCCGCCCGAATTACCTAAACATGGCCTTGTCCAAGGATTACTATGATTGGTTCGTTGCAATGATTTATGACATAGTTGCCGTAGAAACATCTTTAACATTCCGTCAATCAGAACGTCTGTGTCCACCTACTTGCATGCAAATGACCGGGAAGTGAAATTTTTTGTTTTGTCATGAAATTATCATTCAATGATTTCTTGAAAGTGGGATTCGAAACCTCTCTCTCCTTACGTTCCAAGCACATGGGACCATATTGCTTCATCTGTTTCCAAGATCATAATTTATGCATTATGATAAAATTGGACGTTCCTTGTAAGTTAGTTATGAGATGTTGGTGTTCGATAATGATAACAACTTCTCCTTGATAAGTTTGAATATTCTCATTACCTGTTTGCTGGATAATGTATGGTATTAAGGGGAGAATGTATAATCACTTCTGAGGGTCAAACTTACGTGTACTAAATCTAGGTATTAGGATCGGTTTCGCACCAAGAAACTACATCAAAAAAAGTTTATTCAATGTGTTTTTAAATGTGTAAGACAAGCATAAGCATGGATCACCTCAGGCAATGTGTTAGCACTCGTTAACAACATCCCTGCAGATAAAACGAAACAATCACATCAATTGATGAGAGACAGTCATTAGACCACAACGTATAAATTTGAGTTTGTCGACATCGCTAAGCGGCAATTGCCTCTGTTAGTCGGCAGTCTTTATTTCCCTGCCGTTTGAGTTCCAGTGAATTATAGGATTGAGCTGCAGAAAACAGTACACGGGTAGAACTCCCTTTTGCGTAGATAACGGTAAGATCATTACAAGAATTTCCGGGTTGCCTTTAAACAAATGACTTGTGTGATGGTAGTTGCAGTTTCGCCCTTATTTGCTCGTCTTAATGAAAATTTATATTTTTGTATAAATGCACGGAGGACATGACAAAATTGGACATTAAGCTCATTTACATACAGAATGCTGTCGTAAATCTCAAATTTACAACATTGATTAAAGCAAACCGAAATTTAAAGGCTTCATGCCGAACAAAGCCTCAAAATAATTTTCGGTAGGGTCTGATCATACCAACATACCAAGGAGCTCGCGAATTTAAAAAAGGTTTTGTTCCCTGAGAAAATTGAAAACCATTCCCCTTATTTTGATAAGAGGATCAATACTCGATCCGACCAAAGGTATGTCAATAGAGAAGAACAGGAAATAACCATTTATGGGTTATTGAACCATCCCTATATATCAATTTGTGTAATCAATATATAATTAATTTGTATAATGAATGTTTAATCAATTTGTATGATTATGCCATGATCACGCGTGGCGATGAAACTTGTTCTTGAAGCAATGTAGAGGGATATTTTTCAAAGGTTTCGCATCAACTTGTTGCTTGCTGTGGATGGAATTAAGTTTTTAAAGCAAACTTGACCCGAAATTATTGGTGGAAGTAAATAAAGTACTAAATATCACAAAAAAAAAAGGTCAAAGATGAAAATTTCATGAAAGATTGCAACCTGTGAACTTGCCACTCCAATCATAGGTTACTCCAATTGATACATCCGGATACAGAAAAAGAATCGCTCTTTTACAATATCCATGTTTATT